TAACAGATTGTAAGCTCCACGAGCAGGGCCCTAACATTGCTTCTGTACTGAAATGTATTGTAATTGTACTGTCTCCCTTATATTGTAAAGTGATGCGCAAACTGTTGGCGCTATATAAATCCTGTATAATAATAATAATAATGTTTATTATTTTTTTTTAAATTGCCTTTAATATCACTTTAAACTATTTAGGTTTAGCGCAAAGGTGTGGTGAAAAACCAGCTCTTCTCATCATCCCAGAATTGGCTTTTCACCATCCCACAATGAATCACGTCGGTGTAGTACTCTCCTAGCTAGGTTGCTAATAGGTTTAGGAAAATTTAGTTTTTGGCTCCTCTGTATTCAGTGGGTAAGGATTTGAATGCTTTTGGCTGTTCTTGGTTCTGCTGTCTGAAGGCTCAATTACTTCTCCCTGTATTTTGAAAAGTTCTGGAACATAGTGGGTTTGAAGAGGCAGATGCTAGGCTGAATATTCATGCAGCCTCAGCCAATCCCCGGTCAGGAGGGTGGCCAGCAAGGGGCTGAGGTGTGCATAAATAGTTTGAGGCCTAGAACAGCAGGGCTCTTCTCCTGCTGGAGTGACCTAGCTTGGAGGGGCTGTCTCCCCTCCTGGGCTACTTAGTTGAAGACTGCAAGTGGTTCATCGAGGCCCCCAGCTCAGGGAGAGCTGGGGGACCTATTGCTAAAGCTGAGGGAACAGCCTGGAGACAGTATGCTGAGGATCTGGTCTGGATGCTCACAGTACAGGCTCTGGCTGGTACTGGAAGGAGGCATTCATGTACACAGGGACACAGCGAGTAGAGGCCTGAGAGAGAGAGAGAGATCCTAGAGAGACTGTTGCTGCTTGACGTCTTTTTTTGAAGATACTGTTCCAATTTTGCCAGCTCAGGGCTGCTTCCAGATTGGGAGTTCCCTGAGCTGTATGTCTACATCCTCTTGCACTAGAGGCCTACATTTAAGAGGTTAACTACTATCAGAGAGTGTCCTCTATTAAAGTTTGTACTAGAGTATCTTAAAGAGTATCCTATACCCAGTATACCCAGGGGCGGACTGACAACTCATGGGGCCCCCGGGCATTAGGAGATTATGGGGCCCCTGTGTCCTTGCCCAAACTCAAAAAAAATCTTATGAAAAAGGTACCAGGGGCATCTCAAGTTCTGACCCCGGGCCCTCGGGCAGTGCCCGACTTTCCAAATGGTCATGCCTATACCCCATCCAAGTTCTTCAAGCAATAAAAAAAAGACACTTTCTGCCTGGTTATTGCATGGAGAGACTGAGAAGCTGTTATGTGCCTGGTTACTGTGCACCCAGTTGGGAAAAACTGCAAGATCGGGTCTGTACTACAGTGGTAAAAGCATCATGTGGTGGAGATACTTCCTCAGCAGGGATTGTGAATCTAGTTTGAGATGGATGGAGACAAATATATAAATCTGTTTTAGGCTTTTTTTTTAAGCTAAAAAAATGCTGGTAATAGTGTTTTTTTTTTTAGTAGCGTTTTGTAGTGTTCAGAAGCGTTTAGGAGCGTTAGCATTTAATCAGCGTTTTTACAGTACATGTAAAGTGAAAAAAGCTAGAAAAAAAAGCTGTTAGGAGAGATTTAGTAGTATTTAGCAGCACGTTAGGGGCGTTTATCAATTTTTTCTGCTAGAAAAACGCTCCAAAGAACTCTACAAAGACAATTTTTTTTCTGCTCCTAGATGTGAAGCTCAAACAATGCTAATAGCCTAAAGTAGTGTACATGGACACATAGGATAACACTATCTAGCTTCTAGAGCAGGAAAAATTGATGATAACAGCTTCTAAGAGCTTAAAAAACGCTAGTGTGCATGGAGCCTTAGTCTTTAAGACCCCTGAGACTGGAGTAGAGGTTCACATTCCAGCAAATAGATAGAAGGTTGTTGAAACCGAGAACTGAATGATTTACATGGCCCAATCTTAGCTCAGATTTCAGCTCATTCTGTGTCAAAACTCAAATATTGCTGTTCACCTTCAGCCCATAATCATCTAGAATAGATGGGCAAATTGACATAATGGGAAAACATTGCAGTATCCAGATGAACCAAGCTTTTAGAGACAGCTATAATTACAGCCAAAAGTGCATCTATCAAGTTTGTGAATACTTATGCTACTAAGAAATACTTTTTAAAATGAGGATTTGTGTCAGAGTAAAACATATTTACTTCTTAAGCATATTGTATAAATCAAGTGGGAAAAATACTGAATAAGCCAATTTTATTACAAGTTGTACACTACAAAATTTGCACAAGTCCAAGGGAGGTGAAAAGGGGTGGCCTCACTTTGCCCAATCAGGATCAGCAGCCAACACTGGTCTATACGTGGCACATGCGCAAAGAAAATATCAGAATGATGACTGTTGCAAGACTAAGTGTTAGGGTACGTAATACTTTGCATTTTCCCTGCCTTTAGACAAAGCAAGCGTTTTATTCTTCATATGCTAGGAAAAAGTTTAGCTTCGAAAGTTGGCACTCCCTCTGCTATTCCAACTGTGTCACAGCAATGCATTGGTTGGATATTAATTGCAGAGAAGGAACAAAATAGAACAGGCATATAACCAAAGCTGGCCATATATGGCTTGAAATTTGGTCAGTGGATGGCCCTGGCTTGACAAACTTTGAGAAATTGAAGATGTCGGCCGAAAAAAAAAAAAGTTGTCTGAACTATGACTGTATTCAATAACCTACAGTCATATAGAAGCAAGTTTAACACCACTCTTCCTTTCTATTGGCATTGATAAGAACTGTCATGGGAACAGAGAAGCTGCCCCATTTACATTGTCTGTACTGACATACCCAACAGACACCAACTGCTTACAATTATACTGTATCTTCCCTTGAAAAGTAATAAGCAGCAAGCTTCCATACAGGAATATGAAGGTTGTAGATGAGCCCTCTGGACATCCATTGGGCCCTAGGCTGCTGTTTTGTAGATGATATGGCTTTAATCAAACAGGATTGCCATCTATTGTATGGTGAAGAATAGGAGAGACTAGGGGGGCTCTGGGCATCAGTGATCGGTGGCAAAAACTTGTGTACCATCAAAGAATGAAAAAAAATCTGTGCTTAAAGGATAAGTTCATCTTTTGCACACAAATAATAAATGCACATTTATTTGTGGGTAAAAAAATGTGATGCCATGCAGACCTGTCACTATATCTGCTTGCTCATACGGGCCATACGTACCAGCAAGCAGATATACTGACAGGAAGAATCAATGAACTACCACGGTGCTCCGCAGCACCGTGGTAGTTCATTGAGAACTACAAGACAACACCCGCTAAGGCTGTTGGGACTTGTACAGGGGCGGACTGACAACTCATGGGGCTCCTGGGCAATAGGGGATCATGGGGCCCCTGTGTCCTTGCCCAAACTCAAAAAAGCCTATGAAAAAGGTACCAGCGGCATCTCATGGGGCCCCCTACTGACCCCGGGCCCTCGGGCAGTGCCTGAGTTTCCAAATGGTCAGTCCGCCCCTGGACTTGTAGTTCATTCATTCACAGAACACACGTCTCTGTGCAGACACAGCACTCCCTTGTCTCCACCTCCCCTGCAGACTTCAGCAGCTGACTTCAGCCCTTCTTTGGTCCTCTTCCAGACCCTGCACTTTCTGCTTCCCAGCTCCGTCTCCAGCTTCTTCCTGGCAGCAGCACAAGGTAAGGGGGGTGCACTGTGATGTAGGGGAGGGTGGGCTGCTCTGGACATCTAGTCTTACAGATACAACAGGCCCTTTGAGGGCAACGATAATGCTGATGCGGCCCACCACGAAATTGAGTTTGACACCCCTGCTTTAAGGGGTCTAAACAGCATTTCTGTCAGTGCTGGAATAAACTCTATCAAGCCCCCTAGGCAGTCGAAACCTTGGTGTCCCCCCTCACAGGTTTCTGGAGGTTTCTCATGTGTGCACTCTATTGGGATAACATTGAACTAAGTAGTGTGCACATTGGCTGTTAGATGGAGATGACTATCACTACTGTACATTACTCATAGGTTGCACCCAAATTTTACACTAAACTGACAGTTGAAAGAAGATGAGTTTTTAAGAGACAGACTGTAATGTGAACCTGATCTCTATGGTTTATTGGGTGAATTACATTAACCTCCCTAGCGGTCTGATTATGTCCATATTTCTGTGCTCAAAGCGGTACTTTTTTTGCATGGAAATATGTATTTTTTTTATTGTAGGCCTGTAATTTTTAGGAATAACTCACTCAAATCTGTTCAAACAAGAATCTAGTAAACATCCCGGGTAGGATAAAACTTGAAACACGAAATCATAAATTATAACTTAATAAATAATCATAAAAAATAATAATATAATAATAAATTTAATTGAATAATATAATCAAATCAAAGACACAGAAATTTGAAATATAGCGCCAAGTTTGCACATCGCTGAGCAAAGTCGCAGAATCGTTTTCAGTGTCTGATGACGAATTTCCCCACGAATCATTATCACTCAATTCTGCAAGTGGTTCTGATTTACTATCGCTGTTCTCTAGCCGGTCTAAAACCGATTTTGACCTAAAGGGACGCTTTTTGGACGCCATGGACATTTCTCAGTTTCCAGGCAGAAAGAACAGTAAAAATGCAGGCAGGGCGCAGGACAAAGCACTCGGGACAAAATGTATGTGAAATGGTTTGATACAGGAATGTTATACTATGTGATTTTATTGTATTTAGTGAATGTCACTTTTTGTCATTTTCAAATTTCCCGCCAGTTCCGTCCCCGTATGTCCCGACGCTCGCAGGGGATGGAACCCAGAAAACAGATGCCGGGGGCATCCGCCGGATTACATTGCCAGGGACACTGCAGGAGGGACATCGCGGGAGCGCAGGACAAGGTAAGTGATCGAGGGAAAGCAGAGCAGCGCCGCATGGTATTCCCAAGTGTAGCTCGGGGTTACGGCTTGTGGTACTGAAACTTTACCCCGAGCTACACTCAGGAATACCGCCAGGGAGGCTACTACAGTATTTTCTCTATAGAATCTCTAATTTAAAGTTTTAATTTCTTTGAGTTAATTCATGTTTTCTATCTTTTGTAAACAATTTAAGAAAGCTTCATTGTAGTTTTCTTTCAAGATCAAATCAATATTATTTTGATCCATTGTCATGGGTAAACGGCGTGGGGCCCGTAGGCCGGTGCCTACTCTGACTATTTGGTAATCTGGCACTGATTTCTGTGCTCGAGCCCTCTGAAGTCTGCCACTCATAAATATGGTGGGACTGCCAATACAACATAAGCTACAGCTGGCTTAGTACTGCTTTATTACAATTTTTTTGGCAAGCCTCACCCTTAACTGAATTAGTTACCACCTGTAGATTTAATATGTCATACCCCATGATTCCCAACTGTCAGTGACTCATTTTCAATGTAAAGCATTTGAGGAGTACTACATTATTTACCAGCCGTTCATATGACATCTGTTGCATATTCCACTGGCAGGTCAATCAATCATATTAAAATAATTCAAAATTTTCCACACAAAACAAACAATGCTCAGAGCAGGTCCAGACTGGGTACTTGTATAACAATTAACACAACAGCTTTGTCAGTCTGATCTCTGCACTCCTTCAGTTGGCCAGTGAGCTTCCTATCCGATCTGCAGGAGGAATGCTGAGACCTGACAGACAGCCCAATGGCTGACAACACTGCCGCTACTTGGGAGTAGTGGTTTAGCATTATCTGCCTGCAACAAGACGTTCTGTTACTGGCATCCCCCCAAGTAAGAAACTTTGCAATAGATACACAAAAATAATTGGCCTAAAGAAAACTGTACGCAATGAGGCACGATGCCAAACGTACTGAAAAAAAATTGATTTTGGGTTTACATACACTAATTTCCATGGGGGCATCTTACTGGACCTGGAGTAAATGGTGTCCATTTCAACGTGTATGGCCAGCTTAATGGGAATCACAGTTGGGTACAAAGTTTAAACTTTACTAGTTAATTCTTTTTTATCAAATATTTTTAAGACCATTTTAGCATGTCACGTGAATCTTCTTTGAAAGAGGAGGATAAAACCTTGCAAAAGAGGGAACGATTGCTACTGTGATCACATGGTCAGCTCCCACCTTTTTTTTAAGACCCAAGGCACCAAGCTGCAGCCTGGTTATGGAGCTGGTCATGATGCCTGGTCATGGAGCTGGGACACCACATGGAGCACACAGCCTATCTTTGGAGTCTTTTCAAAGTGGCCATCATTGTGTTGACATAGTTGCATGGTTGGCAACCCCACAGGGCATTTCCAGGTCAGACTGGTCCGTGACCAAACCACCTCCCTATAGTGCTCATTTGTGAATTAGAAGGCACTAATTGATGCACTCTTGGCATAAGAAACTTGAAGAACTTTCCAGCAGGATAGGCAGAAAGAAGATTATCCTCTGACATACCATGTGTGAAATCTGGCATCCCCATCATCTCTTCACATGACCCAAAATGTGCCAATATATGATGGAGGTTGAGCTGCCAAACCTATAAGTCGGGCAGTGAGTGCAAAAGATAACCAGAGTGAAATGTTTACATCTCTTACTGTTTGACCCAACAGAATAACAAGCCTTGGGCTCACATCTATATGGATACTGCCAGTGGGAAGAAAACCCATAAAGGTGGGTGGAGCAGTTGTCTATATCAACCAATCATTTGTTAGTTTCTGTAAATCAGATGTTATATGTGGCATTAACTTAGAGTAGAACTATGATCAGACTATAAACCCACATATGTTGGATTCAGACTGCCCATACTAGTAATACTGGGATCTGTTCATCTAAATACCCCCTGGAACATTTTGTAAAATGCTCATTGATCTTGCCAGTAGAACCATTGGATAGGCACTTCCAGGGGCGGACTGACCATTTGGAAACTCGGGCACTGCCCGAGGGCCCGGGGTCAGTAGGGGCCCCCATGAGATGCCCCTGGTACCTTTTTCATAGGCTTTTTTTTAGTTTGGGCAAGGACACAGGGGCCTCATGATCTCCTATTGCCCGGGGGCCCCATGAGTTGTCAGTCCGCCCTTGGGCACTTCCTTTGATAGGGTGCACTAAATCCATTGCAGTGTTGTCACCCTGGTTGCCGCTGTAGCTGCTGACAGTTGGCAGTCCTATCAGTGAGTCGTCATGCCTTTCTCCACCACGGCCCTTTAGATTACTGTTTCTCAACTTTTTTCCCGTCACAGTACCCTGTAAAAGTATGCAAATCATGAAGCACCCCTGTCTGAAATGGGGTTTCCCAACACATCAAAGTCCCCCTGTTGCATAAGAACTTTTTTTCCCCTTTCAGAGTACCTTTTTCACATCAGAGTCGCAGGTCCCCCCCCCTCATTCTTATCAGAGTGCTCAGTCACCTCCCTTTCACATCAGAGACCTCAGCCCCCTCTCCTTCACATCAATATTTTCAGCACCCCACAATACTTTCACATCAGAGTCCTCAGCACCCCCAAATTTACTTTCACATCAGAATCCTCAGCACCCCACTTTACTTTCACATCAGAATCCTCAGCACCCCACATTACTTTCACATCAGAGTCCTCAGCACCATACATTACTTTCACATCAGAGTCCTCAGCACCCCACATTACTTTCACATCAGAGTCCTCAGCACCATACATTACTTTCACATCAGAGTCCTCAGCACCCCACATTACTTTCACATCAGAGTCCTCAGCTCCCACCATCACATCAGTGCACTGCCAAGCTGCGGTCTCTAAAGTGAGCAAAATCCTCTCTTGTATTAAAAGAGGTATAGACTCCAGAGAGAGAGATATCATATTACCCGGTACAAATCATTAGTAAGACCTCATCTGGAATATGCAGTTCAGTTTTGGGCACCAATTCACCAAAAAGAACATTGGGGAACTGGAGAAAGTACAGAGAAGGGCAACCAAACTGATAAGAGGCATGGAGGAGCTCAGCTATGAGGAAAGATTAGAGGAACTGAATTTATTCTCTCTTGAGAAGAGGAGGGGGGGATATGATCAACATGTATAAAATACATAAGGGGGGATATGATCTCCATGTATAATACATAAGGGGGGATAAGATCTCCATGTATACATAAGGGGGATATGATCAACATGTATAATACATAAGGGGGGATATGATCTCCATGTATAATACATAAGGGGGGGGGGGGGTATATCTCCATGTATAATACATAAGGGGGGATATGATCACCATGTATAATACATAAGGGGGATATGATCAACATGTATAATACATAAGGGGGATATGATCACCATGTATAATACATAAGGGGGGATATGATCTCCATGTATAATACATAAGGGGGGATATGATCTCCATGTATAATACATAAGGGGGGATATGATCACCATGTATAATACATAAGGGGGGATATGATCAACATGTATAATACATAAGGGGATATGATCACCCATGTATAATACATAAGGGGGGATATGATCTCCATGTATAATACATAAGGGGGGATATGATCTCCATAAGGGGGGATATGATCACTGTATAATACATAAGGGGGGATATGATCTCCATGTATAATACATAAGGGGGGATATGATCTCCATGTATAATATATAAGGGGGGGATATGATCTCCATGTATAAATACATAAGGGGGGGATATGATCTCCATGTATAATATACATAAGGGGGGATATGATCAACATGTATAATACATAAGGGGGGATATGATCACCATGTATAATACATAAGGGGGGATATGATCTCCATGTATAATACATAAGGGGGGATATGATCTCCATGTATAATACATAAGGGGGATATGATCACCATGTATAATACATAAGGGGGATATGATCTCCATGTATAATACATAAGGGGGGATATGATCTCCATGTATAATACATAAGGGGGGATATGATCTCCATGTATAATACATAAGGGGGGGATATGATCTCCATGTATAATACATAAGGGGGGGGGGTATGATCTCTATGTATAATACATAAGGGGGGATATGATCTCATGTATAATACATAAGGGGGGATATGATCTCCATGTATAATACATAAGGGGGGATATGATCTCCATGTATAATACATAAGGGGGGATATGATCTCCATGTATAATACATAAGGGGGGATATGATCTCCATGTATAATACATAAGGGGGATATGATCACCATGTATAATACATAAGGGGGGATATGATCTCCATGTATAATACATAAGGGGGGATATGATCTCCATGTACCATGTATGATCTCCAAATACATAAGGGGGGATATGATCTCCATGTATAATACATAAGGGGGGATATGATCTCCATGTATAATACATAAGGGGGGGATATGATCACCATGTATAATACATAAGGGGGGGGGATATGATCTCCATGTATAATACATAAGGGGGATATGATCTCCATGTATAATACATAAGGGGGGATATGATCTCCATGTATAATACATAAGGGGGGATATGATCTCCATGTATAATACATAAGGGGGGATATGATCACCATGTATAATACATAAGGGGGGGGATATGATCTCCATGTATAATACATAAGGGGGGATTGATCTCCATGTATAATACATAAGGGGGGGATATGATCTCCATGTATAAAATACATCAGTGGTCCATATAGTTAACTCGGTGTAGAGTTATTCACCCTGATGTTATCATAGAGGACAAGGGGGCACTCTCTTTACGTCTGGAGGAAAAAAAATGTAATCTCCAAACACAGAAAGGTTTCTTCACAGTAAGAGCTGTGAAAATGTGGAATAGACTACCTCAAAAGTTGGTTCTGGCCAGCTCAGTGGATTGCTTTAAAAAAAGTCCTGGATTCTTTCCTAGATACACAGAATATAACTGATTACTAACATTTATAGGTAAAGTTGATCCAGGGAAAATCCGATTGCCTCTCGGGGGATCAGGAAGGAATTTTTTCCACTGCAGGAGCAAATTGGATCATGCTCTGCTGGGTTTTATTGCCTTCCCCTGGATCAACTGTGGGTATAGGATTATAACTTTTTTTTTTAATTGTTGAACTGGATGAACTTTTGTCTTTTTTCTGACTATGTAAC